GAATCATAGCAATGCCAAGTATTGCAGCCACAGAGAAATTCCTGTAAAGAAACGGCTCGGGATCAGATAGGTTTAAGAGTAGAAAATGAAAGAGTTTTCTCTCGAATTCAGGTGAGATGGGTATCTTGAGACCTCCCTGAAGAATTGCCTGGAAGGCCACGGCTTTCCTGATATCGATTCTTCTTCTCCTCAGGGATCCGGTCACTTGGCTAAGCCGGGATTCCTCCCTGCTACATTTCCTGTGGCGAATATTTCTTCGTTTAAGTATTCAAATATATTTCTACTTTTAGATAGAATATGAAAATTTATTATTTAATTTAATTTTCTTTCTTTTTTTTTTTTTAGGCATTTCATTTTCTTGAGAAAATGAAAGCAATAAAACATGTTATTGTTTGTTATCTACAACGCTTCTGATTATCAGAACTACAATCTTTCTAGTCAATTGAGGTACAAAGATGTGATGAAAATAAAAATGAACAGAAACTAGTATTTCGATAAAAGCATTTAAGCTCTTCTTTGAATAAATAAATTAAATATTGGATGAAATATAATAAAATTAAGATTAAACGAAATATATATAATTTTAATGAATTGTTTATAGATTCTACTTCCGGTCGGATGCTGTATAGAATTTATTTATTTTACTATAAAGATAGGTTCCTGATTATCATTTTTATCTTATTTTATTATCTTTAAAACTATTTTCAAACACTTTTATCAGGTATACATTTAAGAGTTAAAAATATATATATATATATATATATATTTGTCTTTCTATCGTAAAGTTCTATCTCCTTCAAAATATTAATTTGCGTGTTGATAAAGAGAGTTCTTGAGAAATGAAAATACATTATACAAAAAAGTTAGGAACTTTATTTGCGATATAAGGCAATAAATCTGCGAGCTCTCTACTCGAAGCTACTAAGCTAAGAGCTAGTAGCTCCCTACTAAGCTACTCGAAAGTAATATTATATTATTTTTATATTATATTATATTATATTATTATTGGCCAGTCCATCAACTGCCTCCTGCCACATGACAGCTAAAATGTTATACCTACACATGGAGACCTACAAGGTGGGTCGAAACGAAGGCGTAATAATTAAAAATGCTATTTTTTAAAATTTAGTATTTATTTGACCGCACACCCCGATCAGCTCCTTCTTATATTATTTTTAGTATTTAAATGTTCCTGAAGTGATGTTTCGGAACTAACATGTTATATTTGCAATTTCTTCGTTGTTATTTGAGCCTCTTGTTTTTTTGTTTTTTTTTATTATTATTAAGTCATATTAGTTTTTTATTCTTTTCGTACCGTTACCAGGAACTACCAACTATTTTGGTCTGGTCAAAAATTATATTTTTTCGACACTTGAAAAAAATAATTAAATTTTCTGCCTTTCGGGGCGTAATAAGATCAAGCTCTTTGTAATTTTTTTTTGTTGTAGATTTTGAGGTCTACTATCAACTTTTAAATATTCCCCTTTGATTACTGGATATCTTGTATGGGTAAGTAAAAAAGTAAAATGCTGTATATCCTTGGGTACGTTATTTAGTAACCCTTGTCTACTACAATTTATATTTTTAATAACTTATTTTAAACAATTTTATGTGATTATAATAGAGTTACAATTTATACAGTTATATTATAAATGAAAAAAATATTATAAAAATGGAAATGGGATATTATAAAAATATTATAAAAGGGATATTATAAAAATGAAAAAAAGGGTTGAAAGTTAGTGAAAAATAATTTTACCAGCAGGGTTCATATAATATAGACGAGAGTTAAGATTAATCGTTCTTAAAAAATGAAGGTCTTTTTGACAAATAGCGGTGACTGTTGATATAAATAATTTGTAGTCAAGAATTGTAGGTATCATTCAACTGGAAAGCTTGTGCACGCGATCTAAAACTATGTGATCTAGACAATGTTCTCGGACTACAATCAGCTATCGATTACTGTAGTATTACCGTATTTCCAGTCTTCTAAGGTGTCATGTCTATTATTTACTCTGGCTATATTGAACACTATTGAATAGGAATATTAAGAAATTTTATATCGAAAATATCAAGAATAAAGATCGAAAATATTAAGAAAAATGTATTCTAGAGAAAATTAGAAAATCAATAGATGTTGTGTACACGGAATTCTCATAGAGCATAAAGTCCTCAAGAATAGATCATCTGAAAAGAGTTATTGTTAAATGTAATCGTCTTGTTAAAAAATCTGGTAGAAATAGAGGAGGGAGAAAAAGAATCACTTCAAAAAGGTGGATGGCCGATTTTCAATAATGAACCATTGTTATTGACCAAAACATTAAAAAACTTAGTCCTCTCTCAAAATTTGAAGTTTTACATTTCAGGAAACATATAATTCGAAAATTTAATAAATAGAATTTTGTCCGTCCGCCGTCCACCGTATTTTTTTCTGTCACTCTTTCCTCGGCATTAAGGCGATACGGGGATTTCATCATGTGGCATTAGTCCGTTCGGCCCTCTCTCCTTCCAGGCGTCCACCGTCCGCTGTCCACGGCTTTTCTCCGAGACTACTAGACCGATTGACTTGGAATAATAGCTCACCCAATGTTGATTCTCCTACCATGACATTATTATCCACAATTTACTTTCAAGATGACGGCCGGAAAATCCATGTTGGTAAAACGAATGTACCGATGTCAATGCAACTTGCCTTTTCGGTAGTCTTATCCTCGATGACCTTTAAATTTATTTATATAGCATACTTTAACGAAAATAAGCTGGAAACAAATTATGAGGGGTGGTAAAATTAGATTTCCGAATAACTCTTTGATGTTTCAAAAGTATTTTGAGATGTTTCCTAAAAAACGAAAAAACTTTCATTGGAATCAGAAAACATAACGCAGTTTCTAATATTTTTTGTTATTTAAAATTTTAAAAATTTTTCTTAGAAAACAAAAAACAAACCGTTGAAATTGGACAATATGATGCAAAGATATGGTGTTCTAAATATTTTTCATATATTTGACTGAAAAGCTTATATGTTTTGTTTTGGTTATTGATTTTTTTTGAGTGTTACACCAATTGAACCAATGACATCTATTTTTTTAAGTAACTTACTACCGATGAAAAAAAAAACATTAGGCCATTACTAGGAATTACCTTTTATTTCTTTTTCTTGATGTTACAATGAAAGTAACGCTAGTTTTACTGTATAATTGTATGAAATTAATAAAATGATGTATAATAATTTGCAGAGTTTTTATAAAATATACTGTAAACGTCTTAATTGGCTAGCATCTAGAGCATTGTTAGGTTTAAATGGTTCCTAACCTTACAATCTGACATTGACATATCGATTGTTTATAAACACATGTGGAATCACTACAAACTATTCCGAAAAAAATTATTAGGGCATCATATCATAACAGATGTGCTAGATGGACAGAGGGAACTGACGTCGGATTTGATTAAGTTGATACTGGAACATTGGCATTTTAGAGGTGGTATGGATAGTCGTTCGCGTAACTCAGGGGTACTAAGGAGCTATGAGTGGGGCACATTTCGACGAGGTTATGAGTAATTGGAATGAAAAATTTCAATCCAGGATACAAGAGAAAAAACATGGACCTGACTACAGAAAGTTGAATTTATATGATCTACGATTTTCATAATTCTAATTTAGCTTGCACGTTTTCTAAGATGAGATAAATAATAAAATTTCTTGGAGGGGGTGAGATTCATGCGCCATCGACTTTCACAGCAGTAATGTTTCATACTTTTAATAAAATGAACATATTCTAATTTCATGTTAATTGCTTTTTTTTCTTATCTCTTATTTTGTTGATTTGGGATTGTTTGGGCCATCAGGCCATCCCTAATCCTAAAGTAGAGAGGAGGGGAGAGGAAAACCGATCCTGTATGCTAAAATTGATCAGAAGAGGGTGTTCTTGTGTGAAGTTATTAAATCAAATTAAGATATATTACAAAATAAAATAAATATTATATGCTGCTAAAGGGGTTGAGAAATTATTTACATTGAGTTTTGTATATTAGTGTTAGAATTTATTGTAATTGATAGGCCGATCAGTTGGTTGCTTGCTGTTGAATTAATGAGATAGATGTCCTGAGTCTCCCTTAAAGGGACTGGCTTCTTCTGCTTGTGCATACATGTAGTGCTATGGGCTGGTGTGCTGACATATCTACTGATTCTTCCGGGACCACTTCATGAAGCTTGAGTCTAGCTAGACATATTCTGCATATACTGAGTCATGCAGACCATTTAGTGGGCAATCTCAGACTTGGACTTACTAGTTATAGTTCGACCCCTCTGGTCCCAGCTCACCAGGCAGGGCTAGTTGCTCAATTTAACCAATGGATGGCGCTGTTCTGATGACCAATAGAGCTCCTGTCTTATGACTAAATTAAAATTAACGGAGATAGGTAAGATACCTATGTAATTTAATATTTATTTTTTATATCGCTACTATTAGTGCAAAATATGCAAAAATTGAGTATGTAAAAATTGAGTTTTTGTACTATAGAGAAATAAAAACCGATTATTTATTTATGATTTATTAGTATCATTTCATATTTAATTTCCCTCAGCTGTTTTTCCTGTTTAGCAATACTACTTATAGCAGTTGGAAACTGCATAATTTCTTCTTTAAGGCAAAGAGAATAAACATGTAAAATTGTTACACACGAACTTTTATATTAACAATAGCTTTATATACCTTTGGGTGCATTCATCTTGTTTTTAATGGTATCCATCTTATCCATTTGTGAATCCTGAGGTCCACATTTATCTTTTAGGATCAATAGACTTGGATAGTCAAGGTCTTTCGTTTTTATTCTTTTGCGCTGAAACGTGAATCCATGAACTTTAACAACATAGAAATTTATAAAAACATTTCAAATTGTGAACTAATCTCGTTCAGGCATAGTCTTGAATTCTTTTAAAGTTACTTCTTTGCTACAGCCATCTCTGATTTAGTAATGACGCGGCACATAACTAAGCGATGACTATTTGCGATGGGACAGCGGACAGCGGATGCGATAAGACTGTTTTGACAGATCCCTCAGCCTTCACCTCTGACTCTAGAATAGACCGCCTGACCATGTGTAGAGCATCTCCTGCATCTAGTGCCCGTAAATCATCTCTAGTTTATCAATAAGCCGATGTTTGCTAGGGCTTGGAAAATCTTTAGTGTCCTGATTTAGACCGAAACAATGTGCACTCTAGCATTCTTTGGTGCTTAGTCCAATTTCAGGAGATTCCTTTAGAAATCAAAAATGACAAAAAGAATTCTATGTACAAATTTCCAGGCTAGTGACAAAAACATCATACATAAGTAATACGAGCGCTATGTTTATATGAGTAGCTACCAAATGTGAACAACAGAATTTTATAAGTATTACATCCTTAAGCAGTAGAAATCATGTTTCTTCAACTAGCACACACTTATAATAATATGAGTTTTTTCAGAAAAGAGTGCATAAGTCCAATTTATATAGAAAACATCTGGTGCTCGCAGTACACAACTTTCACTTACCGCTATCCTTTGAATAGAAATCATTTTCTGGTAATATTGGGCTATTATAAAATTTTTGAAGTGCATTTTTAATCAAGCTAACGCTTATAGCTAAAATATCATTAACACTTATTCAATTAATAATTATTAAAATAAAATCCTTTTAATATATCAATGGTTGATTGATCCATTGATTATGGACCGTAAGACTATAAGTTATTAAACTATTATTTTTCATTGCAAAGTTTACTAAAATGTAATTACGATATTTGTATTGCCTGCCATAGATAGGTCAAAAGTTGTCACAATAATTGTAAGCGGATACTTTTGGGATATCACAAAGGAAAAATTCAGCCAATTATCCACTAATTTAATTTTCTAAAAGGTTACACGATGATTTTTCGGAATGAACGGATGATAGATAGCTAATTATTTCAATATATAATTACATCTAGAGTTATTAAACTACAGTAAGTATGTTTAAGGTTATAAATATATACATGAAGTATTTTTATATTTCACACAGGTACAATGGAATAGTATCTTAAACAATGCCATTGCTTTGATTCCGTGGATTTTAAATGCTTTTTGTCAAACTTAAAAAATTTTTAAAAGTTTATATTTAGTAAGAAAATTTCATATAATTTCCTTGAAAACATTTTATTTACGTTAAATAATGTTAGTTATCAGAAATTATTGTTTATATTATTACCGTCACTCTCTGTTACCTTCTACAACTTTATTTATTAGTTATTATTTTATTCTAAAATTCCCCCATTTGCAAAGATATTTTATACTTATACCTTCTAACTAATATTTCCGGAGATTCATTTCGAGTTGAATAGGCATTTTTCTTTTTTTCTCCTTTATTCAATTATAAAATTCTTTCAAAAGTTATATTTAGCCTTTTTTCATAGCTCCTAACAGTCAAAGACAGGTAATTATTTAAAATAAACCAAATTAAAGGTACTTTAGAAGAAGAAATGTTGAGCATTGTCCATTTAATCCCTGTAATGTGACATCAATGGGTATAAGACCTAAATGATATTAAAGACCACTTAATTATACAATGATACAAAAAGTTTAATTAAAATAGTTGTAGCCGTTTTTGAGAAAATTGTAAAATTGTGTTTCACCGTTGGTATAAAATGCCACTTCCGTCAGCCGATTTTAACGAAAAAGTTGCTGTCACATCTAAGGTATATCTTAAATACGTAATATCAGTTTCGTACGACTTTTCCTTTTTTGAGCTGGACTTACCACACACACACTCACCATTTTGCGGGACTTGGTTATTTGGACTAAGGGGACCTCCGTTGAAAACTCAGATTCGAAAGTTTTCTAGATTGCAAAACTTTCCCTTACTATAAATTACATCTATAGGTAAGTGAAAGTAAAAATGAACTTGGAAACAACCCAGCTGGCGTAAAAAATAGTACCATACTTAGACGCAGACTACGGGAGCCAGGGTGAGGGAGCGATCCTCTCTCCAATAAAAATGTTGAAGGGGAGAGGTTATCGCTTTTGCCTCTCCTTCCATGTTTAACGGATACAATTTGTAATAAATCCAATTTTTTTGTTCAGATATTTTCATGTATGTCCATATGCACTTAAAAGAAATCTACAACTTCCAAATAAATATATAAATTCACTTTTAAATATTCAGTAATCTATTTGCTTGTTTCACAATAATTATATCGAATTTCTACACACAATAAGAATTACTGTTTTGTTTTTGTCCTTCGTCCCCCAAACGAAATGGAAAGTTAACGCCTATGGTACCATATTACCAACAACAATACCAATGATGAATATCTTAGATAGATATCTTAGATAAATAAACAAAAAAAAAAGACTTTTTTTCGTTGATAGCTATTTATCTGGTTATATGTACTCAAATATGTATTCGATCATTTCTATGCAATGGAGAAAAATAACATTTTTGCAAGGATGAAAGGTAGCTGAAGCAAATATTAAAATCAATTACGAAAATTCTGTTAAAAAGACAAAATTCACTCTAATCTTTTATAGTGTATTTGACCTGATTTGGTTACACTTATGCAGCTTCAATTACTATTTCCTTTTGCTATTTTGTAATTTTTCTAAAACTATCGTTAAAAAGTATGATTATGATTATGAAAAAGTAAGTTAGATTTTCAAGCTGCTGTTGAAAAGTTGTAACAGTATGTATTGACAATCAATTTGCAAGCTAACATTTAGTAATCTATAATATAATATGATGGGGATTTGAAAGAATAATGAGCCTAACAGAGCCTCCTCTCGTGGGAAGAGATCATCCTCCAGAACTTTTTCACTCTTCTACAGATATTGATCGAAACGAGGGTGTTGAAGTCTTTTTAAAGTTAGCATATCTTGCGTAATTTCAAGCTGCTTTGAATATAGGGTGTGTAAATGAAATAGTGTAGTAGTAGTACCGATCCTTGAGGTACTCCATCTGAAATCTGTTCTAATGGTAGAAAGCTCTGAGCCTAACTGAGAAAAGTCGGCTACAAAGGGAGGATTGGATGATTAGAAAACAGATAGGTACTACTTGTAGCTTAGCAACTCCTATCGAAGTGAAGCAAGCAGGAGGAATTTTAATGTAATGCCTAAAGTGTTGAAGACAGATCTTTAATGTTCACTACATCTTTTATGTTTTCCAGACCTTGCCGTCATAGTATATGTTATAATAATAATATGTTACACATTCCGGTGAGTCATCATAATATTTTAGTATGAATTTCAGAGTTTTTCTTTTCGTTGTACAATGCGGACATCCAGATAGACAAAAAAAGATTGTTTAAAGTGGATTTGGTGTCCGTAATGTATAAAACAGAAAGATATCATGAAACGGCTTGGTTCTATTCAATGTACAGACAAAACCTTTATTTTCTTTATGTAGATGTTCTTTAACCTATAAAAACATATGTTTATTATTAACATTTATTATCAATATTAACCGAAATCTCTATACAAATTACTCAAGTATTCATAACTTTAGTTATACTCAATATTTTGTTTTTATTTAAAGCCTATGTTTTAAGTCTAGCAAACCTTAATAGGATGTCAAAATTTCAAAAGTCTACAATTGATAAAAAAATCTACAAGCCATTGCCGAGCTTATCCCTGACAAAATTTCGTTGCAATGCGGAAATACAGACAGAATTTTTTTTTTAAAGTGGATTTGGTGTCTGCAATGTATGAAACGGAAACATATCATAAAACGGGTTGATTCTATTTAATGTATAGGCAAAATCTTTATTTTATTTATATAGATGTTAGTGAATTAAAAGATTTTGCTTCATTAAAATCTAAGAACATCTGTGTGTTCTAGCTGGTTCTATAATCTGTTCCGTGTTCTTTTTTTCTACTCCATTTTTATGAAACCGCATGGTCGTTGAAGTCGCTCAATATTTCTCAGCTTTATTTTTGTTTTTGTTTTGTTGAAGGGAATTATTTGGACTTCTAACTAAGACCACTAACTACGGAAGGCGAGCAAGGACACAGACTTGGCAATTAACATTATTAGGGAGAGGCAGAGATGAAAAAGAATTGGAGCATGTTTGGAGAAAGTACTTAAGGGCGAGGAGAGGTTCATTAGTGCCTCGTTTGGCCCCGCCCTTGGAGAGCTTCTCACCTGGGCTGCCCTCCTGCCCTTGCCCTTAGCCCTTCGTCTGTCATGCACAGTGACTTACAGCTGAGTGAGGGGCTCTGTACTCCCCTCGAGAATCAATAGATGTCGCTTGTAATGAGAGTCAATTCATTTGAAATTACAGCCAGATCGATCTGTTACAATGTACAAATAGCAATAGTTTAATATCACTTTATTGTTGCTTTATTTATTTATTTTTTCATTTGTTTATTGATAAATATTACAATCTGTCTGACTTAAGGACACTTACAATAGAGCTCGCATACATATTATGCGATAATTTGTTCATATTTTCGTGCGAATTGTTTCAAAACATTCATGGAATTTCACTGAATATTTTCAGCCATCAAACATACAAATTACGTCAGCCGCTCGCTCAAAAAACTGTTACATACCTTTTAGCGGATTGATTAAATCATGTTTTATTCGATAATTTGATCGTATTTTAAGCTCAGATTGTTTCAAAACACTCACCTGAGTAATTAGAGCTATCAAACGTAAGGTTTGGTCCTGCAGTTTGCTCAAAAATCGTTACGAACATTTTAGCTGATCACATCATATTTTATACAATAATGCGGCAGTGTTTTCAGCCCAGATTGTTTCAAAATATTCACGGGATTTCGCCTAGTAGTTCAGGCCATCAAAATAAAATAAAAATACGAATACCAGTTTGCTCAAAAATAGTTGCACACCTTTTAGCGGCAACCCAAACACACAACCCTCCTTTGCTTGGCTATACTCGGGCAAAAAAGGTCAATGTTCCATTACTATCCTATTCTTTATTTCGCATTCAATTAGTTTACCACACTTATTTTTTCATGGCTTTTAATAGTCTATTAATATTATATCGGTTAGTGTTTCCAACTAAAACTTAATATTTCACTTAATATAAATTCTACAAAGCGAAGAATTGTTACATATCATATACCGTAATACCCCTTTGGCATTTCTAGCTGTATGAACAGTAAGTTTAGAGTTATCGCTCATGTATTAATAATGGATAATCATTCAGTATATCGCTATCAATAGCGGATCCAGGATTTAATTTTTTTTGGGGGGAGGGGCTTCAGCCCGAAAGCTTTTTTTTCATAAAAATAACGATAATTACTTTGGAAAAAAAAACGAAACTAACTACATATATGAAATGGTGTTTAAGTGATTCCCAAAGTCCTTTTAAATGTAATTACACGAATAATAATACTTTGAGAGACAATTTTCAATATTTTTTTTCCATAAAACATGATTATATTTTACCATTTTGGGGGGAAGAGCTTCAGCCCCAAAGCTCTCCCCGTAGATCCGCCCGTGATCGCTACTGCTAGTGCAAAAGGTTGTATGTAAAAATTAATTTATTTTACAAAAGAGCAAAAACATATTATTTCTTTATGATTTATTACTATAATTTCATTTTTTATTTCTCTATATTATTTTATATAGTAGTAGACCATTAATTGCAGTTGATTACTTCAAAATGTCTGTTTTTGAATAAGTAGAATTAACATAAAATATTGTTACATACGACCTTTTGCACTAACAGTAGCGTTATATTGTTCTTAGGAACAGTAAGGTTTAACTGACTTAACCTTAGTTATATTATAGTTTCACTTAAAAACAATTACCCATTTAAAACTAGTTCAGCGATCAATACAATTGATACAATGTGGATTTCGTTTCATTGAAATACGTTTCTTTTTACTAAAAAAAAAAAGAAAAGGCAGGTTTTATTTGTGAATTTCTAAATCCATATGATCTAATATAATTTTTTATTGGGTAGATATTTTGCATTGGGTTAAAATCGGTAAAAGGTTATTTTTGAACTCTGCCAAAAAATTAACCACTCATCATTTGAAGCGAGTCATTATTTTAATAATTCATATATTCAATGAAAATAAATTGAAACATTTCTAGATCAGGAAATAAAATAAAAACAAGTCAAATGGCGGCTAATTATAAGGCGCCAAAAGGAATTCTTATAACACTGTTGAAGTGCGCTGTCTTCGGATTCGCGTTCCACGAAACAGCCAATCAAGGAGTATGGTCGGACTCAAGCAAGACAGAAGCATTAACTGCCAAATATTTATCTTGGACTGAAGCATACTTCTCCACAAACAACGGATTCGAGAGAACACCAGATAAATTATTCGACACGGCCAGGATAGCGCATAGCGTGGAAAATGTTTGGAATGATATCATAGTTGGTGTAAATGACTTCATGACGTCGATTCCAGAAAAGATCTCGCACGCGATAAGCGCTAATTTGGATCCTCCAGAGAAAAGTACAAAACGGTAACATACACAAACACACTTAAACATTGGGGAAACAATTTACAACAGTGATTAAAAATAAATCTTAAAAACAAAACAATATAATTTCTATTAACGCTTACATGGTATAGTTTAATAGAACAAATGAGGCCATCTTAAACTGTGGGAGAGGTAAGTTGTTTGGATATTCCGTTCAATTTAGAAAAAAATTGGTTCGAAATCTGTCTCATACCTCTATGACCTTTATTTGTTGACATATTCTTATAATATATTTGACATTTACAATGTTGCTGTATGTTGATTACCATCAGGTAGGTTATTCCACTGTTCTTACCGCAGGTGACATTCATTATGACGTTTCCAAATTATTAAACTCATTTAGGGTAATAAAAAGTTATGAAAAAGTTTGCTGACCGCATTTAGCTTTCTTCAATATTGAAGGATTTATGGTATTCCCAAATGTTCTTTTCACAACTTCATTATTATAACTAATTTTCGTGTATTTCATGATTGTCTTTTTCTTAAAAATATCGTAGAGGTTATAAGAATTTGCATTCAGTACTTAAGGAATACTGCTGGGGAGGGAAGCAAGGTTAGTTTAACATATTAACATTATTCAGGCATAGGAGGATGAATGGGCATATAACGCCATAGATAAATGATTACCCTAGTAATCAATTCATTACCTGTGATATACTACAATTATTAGTTCTAGGGTTTATTGGCTTATTTATGATTAGTTTTTAAGTTTGCGTTTCTGGAATGATTTTTCCAGGATTAATGAAAGTAATGTTATAATTGTATAAATTAAAATTTTTTATCTCACATTTGAGTTATATAGCAGCTTCCAAAATTTTTAATTATTTTCGTTGTGATGTTTAATTCGTTACTGCCTTGTTGGAGTTATTGTCACGTTTAAAAATAATAATAACATGTCCTGAAATAAAAAGTGCTTTTCGATATTTGCATATCATATGAATTCGATATATTCGATATTCACTAATATCTAAGAAACTTAATTACCTCAAAATTATCAAATGCCAGTTTATTTTATGAGGGCTTTTATTTGCAGTTTGTTGCTGATACGTTCAATGTGAACTTCTAAGATATTAGCTCCATATGTATCAATTGAAATTGTTGATATGATTATGGCCTTCGGATTAATTTGTTGTATTTTTCGAACAGCTAACAGTAGGGAAAGTCACCAGTTTAGGTGGAAAGAACTTTTAAAAAGTTTAATTGATTTTAATCAATCGCAGAAAGGTAAGCCTACTATTGAGCAATTTTTTCTTATTTATAAATTTATTGAATAAGTATTGGATTGTACAAATATAACTCTTATTGTTAGTAATTGTTTTCTTAACATCTTCAATTTTTTGTAAACAATGTGCTCCCTGGCTATCTTATTTCAAGAGAACCAAACGATCACAGCTGTTGCCTATAACAGCCTAAAGCTGCTGGAAGACTCGTGGCGGAAGCCTAAACTCAAGAGTCATAAGAAAAACCATATATATATATATATATATATATATATATATATATATATATATATATATATAAAAACGTAAGTAAGGTATCACGCATCAGATAATTATCAAAATGACAAGAATTGATAGATTCTTATGTAAGTAATAAAAAAATATAATAAAAATGATGCTTAAAAAATGCTGGACGAGAGATTTCGTGATTTAAATATGAATAATAAACTCAAGATAAAAGCCTCTTGGCACTCCTCTACCTCACGCCCATCAATGTCTTACTAAAATTATTGTTTCCGACAAGGTATCAAGGTTGTTAATTTTTCTAACAGGTTTGGATGAAAAAAACCTACTAAAATTTGGTCTCAAGTGGATCTAAAACGTTTATTTACAGGGAGAAATTAATTAGATAAGCTGAAACAACATAGAAATAATGATTAGAAAGTATGATAAACCATTAATGTCGTCGCAGGTGTTAATAATTAATAATAAACCATTAATAGCTGCAGTGTATACCTTAAACATGAAATGTTTACTCGTATAACAGTTTATAATATAAATATTCGTATGTTTATTGGATACACTAGTGTATTCTTAGGATCTGTTCCAACAAGCAGTCCTAGACTTATGTATGCGCAGTATATATTTGGTGGTCTTGTTTTTTACATTCCAAGACTGCATGTTGGAACAGACCCGAGGGTGAAAGTGTGGATAATGATTTATTTCGTTACAACAATGGACTACATCACTAAAAATAAAATTGTAATGCTGCTTAACCGTATTGAGTTGCTAACTGAAACAGCATACTAATCTATATGATATGAAAATATTTAGTAATTCAGCTGCTACGCTTTGTATATATAAATGTCATGTGTTGTTTCTTTACTTTTCACATCCTCATTCTTCTCAATCTGTCTCCCGGGTCCATAAAGCAATAACCTGATTTAATAGATTTGAGATGTGTACTTGTGTTATATTAATATTAATATTAACTTGTCCTTGTCAAAACAAGTTTCCTTCCAGAAGACTCTCTACTCATTTATACATTGAATTAACAACATTTAAATACAGGTTAAAGACCAGATTCATCTTCACTGTGCCACTCGACATGAATTATTTTTTTTGGAAACATTGTTCTTATTTTCGAAGCCAAAACCTCTGCTGTGTTAAAAAATGTTTCTTTGTAATTGCTATGTTTAATAATTGCTTATTTGATAATGATAATGAATTGGATATGTTCAATATGATGCTTTAAGAAAAACATCTGGTTTAATTTTCTTTATGACATTACTTTTTTCGTAGTTTTATTTTAAATAATGTTTTAAAAATGTTCCATATGTGCTATGTAAATTTTAGAGTATCTAGTTCTTGTAAAAATCTAGATTCATATCGTCGGTTTATTGCAAAAAGTAATTAAGTATGTAGATAGATAAAAAGATGGAAATTTACAAACAAAATTTTATAAGTTAACCTATATCAAAAAAGTACTTAGCAACTTTTCGCAATACATCTACAATATTGCGTCGATTAGTCCACATCGCTGTTGATATTCAAAAATACCTTAGACAAGTAACATCGATCATTATCCATTATCAGACGTGATAACGGCCTATCAACATGATTATTGTCAAGTGCTACTGACTCTTATGAAGACAAAGTTTGTTGTTTCATTCTATCTTTTTTTAAAAATATGTTTTAAACTATTTTCTAATTAGTTTGTATTTATTATTATCTGAGAGGGTACAGTAATGTTGTTAATAAAACTCATAAAAAACAATGTTTTTTTATCTAAATTTTTTCTTAAACCTCAATCTTTTTTGAGTCAGCATATATCTATCGATACCATACTTATTTTGGCCTTTAAACCCAACAACATACCTATGGGGGTTGTTGTTTTTAGAGCTTATAGGCGTAAAGCCCCGAGGTCATAACGCCTATCTAATCTTTGTTTCAATTACCAAATTACTAAATTATTTTATTAAAAAAAAAGTGAATATATAAAAAACAACTCAAAATTAAATTTTGTTAAGGAAGTCAATAACTTCAAAACATTTTATTGCCGAACTTACTTTAATTTCATCATTATTTAAAACATTTGATAGCTTCGATTTGAGTCCTAATTTGGTTAAAATTGATACGTAATAGGGACACTCTTGAAAAATGTGGCTGACTGTGAGGGTGTTGGCATTTTTGTATAGGCTGTTTACTTATCAGGTAACAATGTGTTAGGTGTGTATGTCCTATCCTTAGTGCAATTAAGGCAAGTCCTATACGATTAGGGCGGTTCGAGGTAGACCATGGTTTTACTGATTTTTTTTCATTTCCTTCAATTCGCTCGGAGGGCTCTCGTTGCACATGGATTACGAGCCAAGAGCTTTTTCTTTTTCGCAGGGAAGGCTTGTATCAAGTGGTGTTAAAATAGCCTATTGGGATTAGTGATGTTTACGGAATAAGAAACATCACTTCCATTGCTCTAATGTCATTTTTATCTGGTTGCAATTTACAATTTTATGTTTTACAATGCAATCGCAATTTTATGTGTGCATTTAATAATAAATGCTCTCCTGTAACTGCGCTGTAGAGTATCACAATAACAAAAATATTATAAATCGACTCAGAAAATTATAACATATATATATATATATATATATATATATATATATATATATATATATATATATATATACATATAAAATATATATATATATATATATAATATATAATATATATATATATATATATATATATATACATATATATAGAATAGAATAGAATTTATCATACAAATCAATTCATCTTGTTACGTACATTATATTGGCCTTGACCCGTTGAATGTAACATTAAGGGTATTCCCTCTCCCTTTTATTTCTTTTATGCGATATCACCATCAGACCATGTCTAATAGAGCGTTTATCAAGAGAATTCGACCATTAGGCTCATCACCTTGTTCTTCGCCTGTCAAACAAAAGCCTCGTCAATCTCGTCAAACACCTGCAGTAACGCCTATTAGCTCCAGAGAAAATGAAACCGAGCCAGGTACATCATCAAAACAAACAATTGAAGAACTTCAGCATCTTACATCTTCACAAGAGATAACCAGCCATATGCCTGGCAATTAGGGTACTGTACGATTTCTCTCTTCGCTTCTCTACTATAACACTTGTGTAGTACACTCTTCTTATTTCGTATATTTTTTCGATCCCTTGAGTTGGCTTCAAATCTACGAAAGATAAGGGTAGAGGAACTTTTACTACTGGCTGTTCTTTACTCTCTTTCAGAACATTTGTAATAAGGCGCACTATGAAACCTAAATTTTTCAGTTCTTCTTCTATTGCTTCAGCTGGTGTTGAGGGGAGTAGATTTCTTATAACTACCCAATGCTCGATATTGCCGTAATGGTAGAAGGAAAATCCGCTTTGGTTTCTGTTAGATATTGCACAATTTTTCTGTAGGTTTCAGCTGTATCTAGTGATATCTTCGTGTCCTTTGTTCTACTTAGACATGAATAGCTTCCACAGCCTGTTATTTTGTACAGTTGAGAGCATAG